TTCAGGCCGCAAGTGATCTCTCTATCGGCGCTGCCTGCATCCGATAGCGAACGTGACGCTGACCGCCTCTGCCCGGTTCGGGCTCTCAGAGTGTACACTATACGCGTTGCCGCGTTCAGACGCTCAGAGCAGCTGTTTGTGTCGTTCGGTGGCCGCACCAAGGGTTTAGCCGCCTCGAAACAGACTCTATCCAGGTGGATAGTAGACGCGATTGCCTCTGCTTATGCCGCTAAAGACCTGCCTTGCCCTCTGGGCATCAGGGCTCATTCCACCAGAGGCATGGCCTCATCGTGGGCATGGTCCTGCGGAATTTCCATTCACGACATTTGTGTGGCTGCGGGATGGGCCTCCCCCTCCACTTTTGTCAGATTTTATAACTTGGAAGTTCCAGCCTTACAGGCTAAAATTCTGGCGGTCTAGTATTTACAGCTCTCCTATAGAAGCCGCACTGCGGGAGTTCCATCACAACCGGCTCACCCCTTGTGTTCCCCTATGTGCTTATGCATTACACGTCACGGCCCGCTTCGCCGGCCGCCTTAGGGCGTTTTGCACGAGATGATAACGGCCGCTATGCTGGCCGCCTTATTATCTTCATCCACTTAAAGATTCCCCCGGTGTTCCCCCCTGGGATGCTTAGTGGTTACTTAGCGCGCACGGCGTTGACCAGGTGTTCCCGTAGCGTAAGCTAGCTTACGCAATACGAGAGAACCTCTCGTAAGAGAACGAATCGGTTACCTAACGTAACCTCGGTTCTCTCTAGATGAGGGAACGAGTATTGCGTTCCCGGCCGTGCTTGCGCCACTAGCGTTTCGCTTCATGCTACAGAATCGACGAACTAGCTGGGAGAGCTACCTTTATACACTGTAGCCACGCCCCTTTTGGCGGGCTGTGACGCAGTGAGCGAGCGCCGTCCGCTCATTGGACGCGGACTCAGCGCCGCTCTCCCATAGGTTCATGCATTCTCTCTGAGCGAACCAATGAGCCGCTAGCTAGCCCGCTCATGGTCTGCCTCAGAAGAGACTGCGTTGACAATGATTACAAAATTATGGAATAATTTTTTGGCTTCAACTTCTCAGCAAAGATGAATCTTTCCCGTAGCGTAAGCTAGCTTACGCAATACTCGTTCCCTCATCTAGAGAGAACCGAGGTTACGTTAGGTAACCGATTCGTTTTTAGCTGTTCAAACTCCTGTAACTCCCGTGCTATGATTTCCAGTTTAACTGGGCCCGGGACAAGATGATCTTAAAGGGATAGTTCACTTTGAAATTATTTTTTGATATGTTTTAGATTACCTCAAGGGCATTCAAGATGTAGGTGTCTTTGTTTCCGCAGCATTTTCAATTTTGACTTTTTTTTTTTTTGTGGTCAAACTGGTGTTGTCTGTCAGTCATATAATGCAAGGTATGGGGGTTTACCTCAAAGAGCATGCACAGAGAAGTCCAAATTAAATATGATTTAATGGCTCGTGAATGTAAGTACACATTGATGGCCTAAGACACGAAACGAGCGGTTTGTGTGAGAAAACGAACATTAGTTTTTACCTCTTGTTAACAGCCGTCGAATTGATCTGAATCAGAAGTCCAACTGAACCGTCTCCAACATTACGCCGGAAGGGATCTCTCGCGCGTCTACGTCACGCAATGTTTACACAGAGATTTTGGGAGTTTTACCTTTTACTAAACATATTTACATATATCGAAATCCCGTATATCTAAATATGTTTAGTAAAAGGTAAAACTCCCGAAATCTCAGTGTAAACATTGCGTGACGTAGATGCGCGACAGATCCCTTCCGGCGTAATGTTGGAGACGGTTCAGTTTGACTTCATCCTGCACTGCCGTTTGGACTTTGAGCTGAGCGGATAAATGCTCCGTGTGGTGCGTGGTTAAAAATGTTCCCCCTTTTGGCGCATAAACATTATAGAAATCTTGATATTGTTTTATCGAGAAAAATGAAATAAAATTATACTTATCGTTTTATTGCTCAGCCCTACTCCGTGGTCATGTTTTAATATTCATTTGTCTATAAAAACCTTATAAAAATGGTCTATTTTATTGGTTGTTTTCTCCCGTCTTCCCCCGTCGCAACTCCCACTTTTCCACAGCTTTACACGCCCATTTCTTAATTTTTTCAACTCTGAGGGGTTTCATGACACTTGTACCTTGTAAATTTACCTTGTATTTACAAATCTAGTAAAACCCAATTTAATTTTTAATTCACTTCAGTGTTTCAAAATTAATTCAGTTGTGTATTGTGTATTTCCTCTTTGTGCACATACAGGTCTGAAATCAAGTTTATGGCTGTAAAATGAGAGCAGAGAGAGGAGGAGGAGGAGAACCGGACCTGTAAAATGAGTGTGTATGAGGAGAGAGAGGAGGAGGTGTCTGTTCACACTCAGAGAGCAACATCTCCAGGATCCAGCTGTGTGTCCATGAAGAGTAACATCTCCATGCATGAACCCCCTAAATTCAGTGATGGACCATCTCCAGTATTCAGCTGTGTGTCCATGAAGAGTAACATCTCCATGCATGAACCCCATAATCTCAGTGATGGACAATCTTCAGGATTCAGTTGTGTGTCCATGAAGAGTAACATCTCCATGCATGAACCCCCTAAATTCAGTGATGGACCATCTCCAGTATTCAGCTGTGTGTCCATGAAGAGTAACAACTCCATGTTTCAGCCCCCTGATCTCAGTGATGGACCATCTTCAGTATTTAGCTGTGTGTCCATGAAGAGTAACAACTCCATGCATGAACCCCCTAATCTCAGTGATGGACCATCTTCAGTATTCAGCTGTGTGTCCATGAAGAGTAACAACTCCATGTTTCAGCCCCCTGATCTCAGTGATGGACCATCTTCAGTATTTAGCTGTGTGTCCATGAAGAGTAACAACTCCATGCATGAACCCCCTTATCTCAGTAATGGACCATCTTCAGTATTCAGCTGTGTGTCCATGAAGAGTAACAACTCCATGCATGAACCCCCTTATCTCAGTAATGGACCATCTCCAGTATTCAGCTGTGTGTCCATGAAGAGTAACAACTCCATGCATGAACCCCCTTATCTCAGTGATGGACCATCTCCAGTATTCAGCTGTGTGTCCATGAAGAGTAACAAATCCATGCATGAGCCGCCTATATTCAGTGATGGACCTTCTGTGACCTCTGACTCTGTGTGAGTATTATGAAGCTGGTGAACAATCTGCTGTAGTGAACATATTGATTGTTTCAAAGCATCTTTACAGAGATAAACAGGAAATAATGATTCAGTGATGTAAACAGTTCAATTCTACTGTAAAGCAGCTCTAAGAAAATAGTGTCTTTATTCAGCTGAAGTCAGTGCTGATTCACTGCTCACGCAGCTCTAAGTGGGACCACAATAAGACTAAATGTATATTATATTCAACAAAAATTAAGAAAAGACAAGCACTTATATTTGAGTGGCTCGATCCTTAACTAGTTAAACTCAGATGCCTAATATTCTCTTTACAGTAAATACCAAAGTATCCACAACAATGACAACATGCACATTATGGCATGTGTGTTCTTATAGGAAAATAAGGGACACTCAAAATATGTGTACTTTACCACACAGTGTACGTCATTTCAGTGGCAGCAGTTATGTACGTGTGTACAAGTTTCTCAGACAAATACATTGTTTTGCTCAATCTATTTTTTTTACAATTTAATTCTAAAAATAATACAAATAAATGTAATTTTACACTCAAACCATCATTCAAAATTATAACTTTTGTAGCATAATACACTACTGTTCAAAAGGTTTGGGTCAGTAAGAGTTTCTTTTTAAGAAATTAATAATTTTATTCAGCAAGAACGCATTAAATTAGTCAAAAGTGACAGTGAAGACATTTACTGTATATTAGAGGTTGACCGATTCATCGGTTTTGCCGATATATCGGTACCAATAGTTGATTGGTGGAACTATCGTTATTGGCAAAAATCCACACATGATAGTTTTTCTGGGTTGCGTCCGTTGCTGACTCTTTGGATTTATATGAAATGCTAACACTTTACAATAAGATTCCATTTTTAGCTTTAACTAAGGTTAATACGTGGTTTAGAAGTATTATTAACTTTTTGTTAATTTCAACATTTAGTAATAAATTTTAAATTGAGTTTTAATTTTAATTTGATCCGATTTGATTTGATTACCTTAGTTAATGTACTATAAACTAACATGAACGATCAAGGTACAATTGTATTGCTCAAATAATAATGCATGCAGTAAAACTGTATATTGTATATGGCATGCATAGTTCATGAAAGCTATATTACATCCTTGTTAACAAATGGGACTCACTTACAAAGTGTCACCTATGAAATTTAAAAATGTTTCTAGCTAAAAAAAACACATATTTGACCTATAATATTTTAATGTTTAAATTATTTTCTTTAGAGTTTATGTAAAAGTTCTCATTTTAATATATTAATTTTTATATATTTATTTAATTTAGCTCATTTCCGTTCAACACTGTTTTACTTGGGGTATTATATGTTTGTTTTTAATTATTTAATTATATGTTTGGTATACATTTTAAAAAATATTGGTTGAATAATCGATTATCGGCATGCATGGTCAAACCTAAATATTGGTATTGGTAAAATCCATTATTGGTCGACCTCTACTGTATTTTGTTATAAAAGCTTTATATTTCAGATAAATACTGTGCTTTTGAACTTTCTATTCATCAAAGTATCTGAAAAAAAATATACAATTGTTTTCAACATTGATAATAATCAAAAACATTAAAAAACTTTTATAAAGCTACACCAACGCATATTAAATTTCATCAGGTATTTAAAACAAGGTCATAAAATTTGAAACTGAATGAATGAAAACGCATATTTTTCAATTAAAGAGAGCTTGGAGGATTAATATTGGCTGCTTATGGTGCTCTAGACTTTATTGGTCATTTTTTGTTTCAAAAATGAGGTCCAAGGTTAAAAGTACACTAGTTACTTAAATACACAAACATTAGGGGTGTAACGATACACAAAACTGACGGTTCGGTTTTCCCACTGTTTTGACGTCTCGGTTCGGTTCGGTTTGGAAAGCTCTTTTTTTATATATAGTGGTGTAATGATAAAAAAATGTCTCTGTCTTTAAATTAATTCAATTACAATTAAACATTTTACAAGGATTAAAAAAAAATCTGCTAATGCTGTAAACTGTATAGGGAGTCGCACATTACTAAAACATTAAAGGTTGTAGCCTAGACTTTTAACCAAAATTCAAATGCTATTTATTTTTAGATATAATAATCAACACACAACACATTGTATGAAAACATGGAAACTGAACATAAGGCAGTTTTTGCATTAACTTGTGTTTTTACTCTAATTTGTTATTGAAATATAATAATTTACACAGTTGTCATTTTCATCAAAGATATTTTAAACATACATTAAATAACCAAGATATCATTAACAGTTTAAGTAAAATATAATATAGGCCTATAGGCTAACATAGTGCATTTATTTAGTGCAAGAGTTCATTACAGGAACCAAAGTTGTGGACACTGAATCACTTGAGGTAAATATAATGCTAGTGACAAGCTGAAGCTATGCTGTTTTATTGACGTCTTTCTGCTGCTGAAACACTGATTGAGCGATTACATAAGTTATGATGTCTTTCAGTTAGTATCCTGTATCTTTCAACATACCTTCGTGTGTCCATTCTGTAACTGAGGAAGAGATGATCGCGTTTACTCACGCGCCGCGCTGCCGCTTGAAATGAGGTGCTAGTAGCCCAACAGCTATCTGTCACGCCACATCAAAGAGCGCCAAAACGTTTTATTTATTTATTGTTTTAAATAAATTTATTGTTTTAATTTCGTGGTCAAATAGACAGAATTGGAAAGATTACACCTTGCTTATTATCGAAAGTAACAAAACACGGAGCTTGTTATTTGGTGTTAATGGTGGTTAGGCTAAAAACTGAATTTGCTGTGTACTCTACACATAAGACATGAGCTCCATTGAGCCGGACTGGGCGGGGCCGGGGTAGCAGGGGGCGGGGTGGGGCGTGTTCCGTTCGCAATGAGAGTATCGCGATTCGAATCGTGAGTTCAGTATCGAGCTTTTTCGGTTCGGTTCAAATATCGTTACACCCCTAACAAACATATAATCCCAAAAGAGTGATAGATTCTCAGTTTGTTATTCGTATGGTCTAGACTCTGGCGTATACAGGACAAACTGCGTTCCCTATTGCTTTCATATGTAACGCTTCTTTGATGCCTTAAATACGGGATGATTCCATATTATACAGAATGGTTGGCAAACCCTAATTTCCATCCGTCTTGTTCCAGAATCATCAGCAGGAAGAGAGCAGCATCTCCAGTATCTGACTGTGTGTCCATTAAGAATAACAGATCCATGTATGATCCTCCTAATCTCAGTGATGGACCCGCTTTGACCTTTGACCCTGTGTAAGTATGGTCATGTAGATAGTAATGTCGGCTTATGTGTGAAAGTCTAAGGAAGCGAATGACAAGGATAAGTGTCTATAGCCGCGTTTCCATTACCCTTCAAATTGCGCAAATTGAAATTGCGAAATGAAAATACGCACAATGGAAACACGGCCATTTCGCAAAAAAAAAGTTTATCGCCAGAAAGTTTTTACGCTCACATGAGGAGGTTTTTCAGGCAATTTGAAAAAGGAATATTTCGCAAAACTGAAATGGAAACGGGTTTTGCGCATTTACAATCACCTGACTTAGAAGACGCGGTGTGTTTTGGGTCCGTGTCTGCAAATAATAATAATAATCAATCTTATTATAGCATTTATTAGGCTACATATGTAGAAGACGCTTTTATCCAAAAAAAGGAACAAAGCAATTCGTCACATTTCATTAATAATACAGGTTGGACAATAGGGCTAAGATTATCACAAATAAACACACGATTTTGACGCATATCCAAGTGTGTGTACGAACGGAGTGTGGAGTGCGCACTGCATGGCAGAGAGGCGCCCACACTTACATTTTTTTATCAACAGTGGAAACAACTTAAAATTCTCTATCATTTCTGGTCATACACAATATAATAATACATTATTCGCAACTACTTTTTATTTGCGATTTTGCGTAATCTCACAATAACAAGAAAACTTTGTGCTTTTGTAAAATAAAATACAACAATCAGGCGCGCTTTTATGATCTCCGTGAACTGAAGTGCGAGAACTGAAACAATAAATAGCCTTTATACACTAAAGCTTTAATTGTCCATTTTAAAACGAACAAATTCGAATCGATAGCTTAATAGCCTACCTTCTAAATGTAATCCGTATGAAATGTGCATTTTCCAGGTTCTAATTTGGCCTTAGAAAACCAGTAAAATCTAAATAAAATTTTAGAGTGAGATGAGACCTGTGAGCAATTCTCATGTCTGCTGTGTGGAGTTATTTTAAACTCAAGGAAGAAAAAAACAAAGCCAAGCTTTTTCAGATATATGTGCAATAACAATTTTTTGGGAAAAAAAATAACATTACGATGTATAGAAATCAATTTCAATAGTGTTTGTTAACTTTTTTCTTCTAAAGTTAAGGAGAAGCAAAGACCAGGAGACTCGGGTGGTATGTTTTAAGCAGGGTTCTTTATTGATGTTGCATTGCTGTAGTCTGCTTTGTCCAAAAATCTTAGCCAAGTCTGACTAAACTAAAATACAGACTGTTCATATACCTTACAAGGGGGAGGAGTTACATAGAGGTGTAGACACTTTTAAACAAAGCATGCAAATAAGGCATAGGATTCAGCTGATTACCAGAAATTCCCCAGCCCTGATCTCATCAGCATAGCAGTTATTCAGAGCCTTGAGATGCTAATCCAATCAGCCTGACTAGATTGCTCAAACCTTAAAGGACAACTCCGGCGCAAAATGAACCTTTGGTCTAATTACACATTGCTACCTAGTCAACCGTTATCTGAGATTTGTTTTCATGATTGCCGAATGTAAATAGTTTTATCTCTAAAAACAGTTTAGCCTATAACGCTAGTACAATGCTAGTATATAGGGCATAGAGTAATGACAAATAAAAATCGCTTGTTATTACCACTAACAAGGCTCAAAATAGCCCCACACCAAAACGACAGCATAACAAGGGTCCCTACATTCAAACCGAAGCGTTGAGAACTTTGTCAGTGTCCACACAGTTTAATAAGAAGATATTTTATACACACAGTAAATTTCGCGAAGACAGGAAGAAGCCATCTTTGAAAAATAGTCTCTACCAGTCGATCTACGAACGCCGATCCAAGTGCGCTGAACTGTGCAGAATCTCATATGATCCGTTGTTTCCAGAAGAAACACAAACACAAACCGTTTACTTGTCTTCAATATGTACACGTAGCCTACTGTTCGCGCTCACCTTATCACCTTATTCACATCTCACCAGCGCACTTGGATCGGCGTTTGTAGATCGACTGGTAGAGACTATTTTTCCAAGATGGCTTCTTCCTGAATTCGCGAAATTTACTGTGTGTATAAAACATCTGCTTATTAAACTGTATGGACACTGACAAAGTTCTCAATGCTTCGGTTTGAATGTAGGGACCTTTGTTATGCTGTCGTGTTAGTGTGGGGCTATTTTGAGCCTTTTTAGTGGTAATAACAAGCGATTTTTATTTGTCATTACTCTATGCCCTATATACTAGCATTATACTAGCGTTATAGGCTAAACTGTTTTTAGAGATAAAACTATTTACATTCGGCAATCATGAAAACAAATCTCAGATAACGGTTGACTAGGTAACAATGTGTAATTAGACTAAAGGTTCATTTTGCGCCGGAGTTGTCCTTTAACATTATCATACATAGAGACAAAGGGTGGGAGTCTCAGTAATCCGACTCATTTAACTTACAATAGAGAGAACTAGGACTGACAGGAAAGAGCCATTAAGTGTTTCAGTAATCTTACAAATACAGATTGGCTGGATATAATCACCATCCTGACCTTAAATGTACCAATACCAACATAATCTGCTGCAGTTGTCTCTGGTATAAATGCTGCCATTAGTCCTGAAATCACTGCGTGAATGCACTAATTCAGCTCCTCACGAGCACAGCTTTTGTGCTTCTTCTGCTCTGCTACATTTCTAGTGTTAAACAGGCTCTATGCTTCTTTCTGTCATTTCTCTGTTACATGTCCGTTTGCACGGAAATTATTTTTGTCACCTGGGCTAGATGCATTAATATCATATTGAAACAATCCTTTAAATATGTTGGTCATTATCTATCCCAAATGGCGGCAGTATTAATCTTCACTAAGTAGAAACAATATCATTCCTAAAAATAATATTCGGGAAACTCTAAATGGGAAGAAATAATTTGGCTATAATAAATAGAAATTATGTTATATTTAAAGGATTAGTTCACACGCGCCTCACAGAATATAGCAAGGCTAGCATTTGTCCTTAGAAAAGTTACATTTTTGGAATAAGTTTTGAAATAACCTATCGTTTCGCATGATAAGACCCTTATTCATCGTCTGGTGTCGTTTAAAGACATTTGAAGCTGCATCTGAAACAGTTATTAACCGTCTTTTGATACTTGAACCATCCGGTTCCCTTTGAAGTCCATTATATGGAGAAAAATCCTGCAATGTTTTCATCAAAAACCTAAATTTCTTTTCGACTGAGGAAAGAAAGACATGGACATCTTGGATGACATGGGAGTGAGTAAATTATCAGCAAAAGTTTTTTCAAAAGTGAACTAATCCTTTAAAAGGAACGTCATTAATAACAACTTCTCTCTAAATGTGGTATGATTTCAAATCAGAAATATTATATATATCATATCAAATATATAATAAATGTCTCTATTCTTTTCTGTTTGTTTTTGTGTCGTCTTAATTAGGGCTGAACGATTATGGAAAATAATCTAATTGCGATTTTTTTTTTTAACCAATATTGCGATTGCGATTTAATATGCGATTTAAAAAAAAAATTGTTTACCTTCTGCATTAGTCGACAAAGACAAGCGATAAATCATTGTACAGTAGGGATGGGAATCTTTAGATAGCTCATGATCTGATCTACTTTTTTCTTTTAATTAATCTTAATAACACTTAAAATATGTATTTAATTACATGTGTAAAAACACATACTTTAAAAAATAAATATATATAAAAAAAACATTTAATTAAACCAATTACATGTTAAGAATTTTAAATAGGCTATATAAAATAATATAGCTTCAAAATATAAAAGCTAGTAAATAAAGAGAAACAAAAAAGCATTACAAGCAATAAAGAAAGAGTGGTCTCAGTATTTAAAAGTAGGCTGTCTGAATGTTTTTCATTCAAGAGTTGGAGTGATTCCCCCTCAGTTTAGATATGATAAGCTGCATTCACACTAATGCACATGTCTCTTTTGAAATTGTAAATGTGGTTTGTCCTTTTGGTTTAAGATATAACTGACCGTGTTTACATTAATTTCGCGTCATAAAAGGATTTTGGCATGCACGTTTATGCACATTTAACCAATGAGTCGCTCACGGCCGCATGCACGAGCGCTCTTCACAAAGCACGCGTTAGTATTTTAAAATGAAAGCAGCCTTCTCAGTGATTTTCATAGTTTTAATATATAAGCCAACTGCATTCCAAAAGACATAAATAATGCCTCTGTGAAGCATTTGTAGGAAAATTCCCGCGGGAGAGAACGCGCACTGCAAGAGTAACGTTATAACATCAAGCAAAGCGGCAAAACCTGTTCAATGAAGCCCGCGAATGTCCTTGTAATTCGGTTCAACCCCGAACTTTATGAAATAACGTTACTATGTTTCGGAAGGTTCTAGCGGTGTCGTGTGTGTGTGTGTGTGTGTGTGAGTGAGGAAGAGAGAGCGAGAGAGAGAGAGAATAGAAGCAAGCAGATTCAGAACACGGTTTGTTTCTAAAGCACGCGCAGCGTCATCACGCATCTGTGTTTAAAAACTAAGCTCATACTCGATTCTGAAATTCTCTGAATCGATCCAGGATTGTTGAGGAGAGGAGAGAATAAATAACACAATAAATTGTTCTTTTCTGGACGCCAGACCGCGTAGCGTGGCAAGTTGATGCTTTATCTTGCAGACTGCTTTTCTCTCGCGTGTCAAGTGACCAGTGTAATCGCAGCTCTTGCGATTACAAAATCGCGTTTCATCATATCGCGATTTTATCGCAAATGCAATTAATCGTTCAGCCCTAGTCTTAATGTGTTTTCAGTGGTGGGAGAGCTGAGCAGATCAGAGATGTGTCCTGTCAGACCAGCAGATCCTCCTGTCAGAAACACATCAGTCATCATGACACAGAAGCAGCCCTGCAGCTTGATTCTCACCAGCCAGTGCATGATGATCTGCAGAGAGTCAAAGACCAGCACAAAACCAGCATGAAGAACAAGTATGAGAGATTATTTGAGGGAATCAAACTACAAGAGAATCAGACTCTCCTGAACAGTATTTACACACAGCTGTACATCATAGAGGGAGAGAGTGAAGGAGTGAATGAAGAACATGAGGTGCTACAGATGGAGAAAAGTTACAAGAACCTCCAAGACACTCCAATCCACTGCAATGACATCTTTGATCCTTCACCTGAACCAGGATATGAGGAGAAGAGAAGAGAGAAGAAAGACAAAATCAAGACTGTTCTTACTAAAGGCATCGCTGGAATCGGGAAAACCGTCTCTGTGCAGAAGTTCATTCTGGACTGGGCCGAGGGAAAAGCCAATCAGGATGTAGATTTCATGTTTGTGCTTCCATTTAGAGAGCTGAACTTGATTAAAGATCATCAGTACAGTCTTCACAGACTTCTGCTGGACTTTTATCCTGAACTTCGAGATCTGGACTCAGAGATGTATGATGAATGTACAGTTGTGTTGATCTTTGATGGTCTGGATGAAAGCAGATTGACACTGATGTTTTCAGACAGTGAGAAAGTTTCTGATGTGACTGAGTCTTCATCTGTGGGTGTGTTGATGTCAAACCTCATGAAAGGAGATCTGCTTCCCTCTTCTCTCATCTGGATCACCACCAGACCAGCAGCAGCCAATCAGATCCCCTCCAAATACATCAACCGTGTGACAGAAATTCAGGGATTCAATGAGCCTCAGAAGGAGGAATATTTCAGGAAGAGAATCAGTGATGAGGATCAAGCCAGCAGAATCATCTCTCACATCAGAAGAGCAAGAAGCCTCCACATCATGTGTCACATACCCGTCTTCTGCTGGATCTCAGCCACTGTGCTTCAAAACATCCTGAAACAAGATCTCAGTGCAGAAATCCCTCAAACTCTGACTGAAATGTACATACACTTCCTCCTCATTCAAACTCATATGAGGAACCAGAAGTATGAAGAGAGAGATCCAGAGAAACTCCTGCAGTCCAACAGAGACGTGATTGTGAAACTTGCTGAACTGGCTTTCAATCAGCTGATGAAGGGCAATGTGATGTTCTATGAGGAGGACCTGATTGAGAGCGGCATAGACGTCACTGACGCCTCAGTGTATTCTGGGATTTGCACTGAGATCTTTAGGGAGGAATCTGTGATTCATCACAGGAAGGTTTACAGCTTTGTACATCTCAGCTTTCAGGAGTTTTTTGCAGCACTGTATGTGTTTTTCTGCTATTTACACAAAAACAGTGAAGTTCTGAAAATGTTCCTCACAGGAAAGTTCAGAAAACAGTGTGAGAATGTTCCTCTGGATGTGATTCTGAAGGAAGTTATAAATAAAGCCTTGGTGAGTAAAAATGGACACCTGGATCTTTTACTTCGATTCCTTCATGGCATCTCACTGGAGTCCAACCAGAGACTCTTACAGGATGTGCTGATTCACACAGAGAACAACCCAGAGAGCATCAAGAAAATAATCCACAACCTCAAACGAGGTCAAAAAAACAATGTCAGCCCTGAAAGATGGATGAATCTGTCACACTGCTTGATTGAGATGAAGGATCATTCTGTTCTTAAAGAAATGCAGGCATTTTTAAACTCTAAAACAAAAAGAAAAAGTCTTTCTCTTGCACAATGTTCAACTCTGGCAAACATGATCCTGATGTCAGAGGAGGTGATGGATGAGTTTGACCCTAAAAAGTTCAATATCACATCAACACAAGAGGGTCGAAGCAGACTGTTACCTGCTCTGAGGAACTGCAGAAAAGCTCTGTGAGTGTGAAAATATGAACATAATATCAACTGCATTGAACTATGAACATAATACGCCCATAATGATAGATGAAGTGGTCTTGACACCTGCATGCCTTTTAATCAGATATCCTTTTTTTCAGTTTGGCAGACTGTAATCTCACAGATCAGCACTGTGAAATTGTGTCTTCAGTTCTACAGTCATCAAACTCCCCCCTGAGAGAGCTGGACCTGAGTAACAATGACCTGCAGGATTCAAGAGAGAAGCTGCTCTGTGTTGGACTGAGGAGTCCAAACTGTCAACTCAATGTTCTGAGGTTTGTGTTTCACAATTATTAATTACAGTTTCTCAATTTTTTATATATTTAATTGGAACTTTAAATTCAATCAACAATACTTAAAAACTCTTATGTACCAAGTCCTAAATTTCCACTACAGTTCCTGCTTTACGCTCAGTTTTCAGTTGTATATCAAATAAACAAACACTAAACACAGTTCTCTATCGGGGTTTTTCCTGCATAGAGAATTACGAGATGGCCGCCTCCGTCAAATTTCATGCTGCCTCCGGCTCTCAACAAAACTCGGACAGACAGTCATGTGCTCAGATACACTTTTTCCACTGTCAGGGCTCTGTTGCGGGTTCCCGACCTGTGTTCATTCTCAAACCGTATAGTTTGCAGATAGTGCTGTGCTGATCATAATCCGCTGGTCAGGCGGGCCAAGTAATAAAAACATAACATTCCAAGTAATCGAGTGTGGATGACAGATAAATCATTTTAATGTGTTGAGTTTATTTAACCCTCTGAGACCTAAGGGTATTTTTACAAAAAAATTTCCGTCTGGTGTCATTTACTAAAAAAGCTTGTAAAATATCAACCCTTTGGTGCATAGACAATTGACACACCTCTTTTTTTCAGGACAAATTGAACTTTCAGCATATTTGTGTTACATTGATGTCACCTGAATGTAAAATAAGTTATGGGACCATAAAGACAAATGAAAAAATAAATCGGAAATGGAATCACTCAAATATTTATTGAAATCACACACAAATAAATAAAAGCTAAGCAATTTTCCTCTGGAAAATAGTTTTTTCATGTCTTTGGAGTCCTGGAGCACAGGAATAAACATTATAACTGGTACAGAACAAAAACTATTGACATTTTTCCAAAAGAAGTCTAGGCGTTTGGGGCCTCATGAAATTCACTGGTGCCAAACTTCAAAACAGTTCCTATCAGCAATCACACAGAGGGCCACATCACAGGTTTTGCATTTCTATTTTATTAGGGCCCAAGCCCTGAAAGGGCGAAGGCCCTATTGTTTTCCTTGGGATTATTTATTAGGGCCCAAGCCCTGAAAGGGCGAAGGCCCTATTGTTTTCCTTAGGATTATTTATTCTTATTATTATTTTACTACCTTTTTGGCACTTTTGGAGCCCTTAACATGCTCGAAAACTCTTGAAACTTTGCATACGGGTCAGAACCCGCGGCCATCAGAGCCGGGCTGAAGATGGTACCCGGGTGTGGCAGGGGGGCTCGTCAGCGCCCCCTGGAACGGGGTCCGAACACTTGGTCCATAACTCAAACACGCTTGCATGCAATAATATGAAACTCGGTACACATGAAGATTCTCATCGTTTCATCTATACCTCGCGCTTTTACTTTTTGCCCCAGCCCAACAGGAAGTCGGCTATTGAGGTTTGTTTGTAAAACGCTCGCAATGGTATTTGAAATACTCCTCCTAGAGCTTTGATCCAAATTCGACGAAACTCGGTCAGCGTGAAGTCAAGACATTGAGGATGAAAGCTTGTGTGGGGATTTTTGATATCTCGAACGGTTTGTCCGTGGCGAGGAAACGAAATCATGGCGAGAAACGTGAAATAGGAAGTGTGTTATAACTTCAGCATACATTAACTGATCTTGATGAAACTTCAGCAGTGTGTTCGCTCTAAGAGGACGATCACATGGATGTGACTATTGTGAGTCAAAGTTATAGCGCCACCAACTGGCAGCAGGAAGTGTGTCACTTTCAAAATGCTTTGAAATCACCCTTTTATTTTTACCCGATTTGCTTCAAACTTCATCTGTATAATGTAAACATACGGCAGATGTAGACCTGTGAATGGATTCTTGATATCTTTTAAACTGTTGCCGTGGCAACGCATCAAACTTTACCATTCTTTTAGGATGCTTTTGAGACCCTTAGCATGCTTCAAATCGCATGAAACTCGACAGACACATCACATTTATTAGCCAGTAGACACGTGCAAAGTTTCAGAAACGGGCGTGGTGAGGGCTCAGTAGCGCCACCTTTTGACAAAAGTGGGGTTGTTAGTTTTAACTAGAGTTACCAACATCGGTATGTATATTGTACTCCTCGAGCCGGACAACTTTCTAATTGACACTTATTAGCTAGGACCCACAGAAAGTCAGATATTTTTGTTTGAATATGGTCACTCTGAGCCTACATGTCTCTGTGTCTCTGTGTCTTTGGCTGTCTGTGTGTGTGTGTGTGTGTGTGTGTGTGTCTGAGTGTGTGTGTGCAGGGGGAAGGGGCTTAACCATTTCACTGCTGTGTGTATGACCTGCATAAAGAAAATACATTTCTTAAGCCTGGTATTTTTTAAATAAGTTTTTATTTTTATTTTTTATAAGTAAAGGCATATAACTAGTTTAATTGTAGTGCATTGACAATAGTTTTATATAATTAGTTTATTAATCAGATTAACTTGATCAATAAACTTGGTCTGAAAATTTGGTCCATAAATCAAACACACTTGCATGTAATTGTCACAGTCGGTCGTCTTCACCTGTTTTGTCCCGTCATCTGCACCACACTTCCCCGGATCCTTTTGTTCCTCTCCCGGACTCACTCCCCAATCAGCCACCTGTTCCTCGTCTGTTCATTATCATTTCCACCTGTGTTCACCTCATTTAGTCCTGATTCCCCTGTGTATTTAGTTCTCCCTCCTTCAGTCTGTGGTTGTCGGTCATTGTTGAATGTTACGCTGTGAAACCCTGTCCTCCAGCCTGTATTTTTATATTAAACGTCTCTTTATCGAGATTCTGAAGTCAGCCCGTTCTTCTGCCTGCACCCGCACCGTGACAGATTGACCGACCCAAAAGCAACATGGACGCCGTGATCTTCCGGGGGATCCCCTACCCGGTCCTGCGACCCCGGTTACGTCTCGTTCCCCGGAAGTCTGCGCTCACCGTCAGCCCTGCCGAGCCCGCGCTCACCGTCAGCCCTGTCGAGTCTGCGCTCACCGTCAGCCCTGCCGAGTCTGCGCTCACCGTCAGCCCTGTCGAGCCCGCGCTCACCGTCAGCCCTGCCGAGCCCTCGCTCACCGTCCGTCCTTTTGAGCCAGAATGCTCTTCACCGCTGGTTCCGTCCAGCTCTCCAGAGACTGTATGCTCTTCACTGCTGGTTCCGCCCAGCCCTCCAGAGACTGTATGCTCTTCACTGCTGGTTCCGTCCAGCCCTCCAGAGACTGTATGCTCTTCACCGCTGGTTCCGTCCAGCCCTCCAGACAACATGGACGTCGTGATCTTCCGGGGGATCCCCTACCCGGTCCTGCGACCCCGGTTACGTCTCGTTCCCCGAAAGCCTGCGCTCACCGTCAGCCTCGCCGAGCCCGAGCTCTTTCCTCTGCTGGTCCCGCCCAGCCTCACCCAGCCCGAGACCGTCCACTTCCCATCTGCCCTTCATCTGGGGACTCTACCCAAATATGTTTGGGGGGGGGGGGCCCAGTGTTCCAGCCAGCGCCTGAGACCGTCCAGCCAGCGCCAGAGACCGTCCAGCCAGCGCCAGAGACCGTCCAGCCAGCGCCAGAGACCGTCCAGCCTGCGCCAGAGACCGTCCAGCCAGCGCCAGAGACCGTCCAGCCAGCGCCAGAGACCGTCCAGCCAGCGCCAGAGACCGTCCAGCCAGCGCCTGAGACCGTCCAGCCAGCGCCTGAGACCGTCCAGCCAGCGCCTGAGACCGTCCAGCCAGCGCCTGAGACCGTCCAGCCGGCGCCTGAGACCGTCCAGCCGGCGCCTGAGACCGTCCAGCCGGCGCCAGAGACCGTCCAGCCGGCGCCAGAGACCGTCCAGCCGGCGCCAGAGACCGTCCAGCCGGCGCCAGAGACCGTCCAGCCGGCGCCAGAGGCCGTCCAGCCGGCGCCAGAGGCCGTCCAGCCGGCGCCAGAGGCCGTCCAGCCGGCGCCAGAGACCGTACAGCCGGCGCCAGAGACCGTCCAGCCGGCGCCAGAGACCAGGATCCCACCCAGCCTCCCTCTCCCGCCTCCTCTCATCTGTCCTCCCTCTGCTCTCCTGCCCTTCAGCTCCCCGAAACCAGCTTGGTCTGTGGATCCCCGGTTTTCGCCTCACACCGCCTCCACTTGGACACTTCCTCGGCCCTCTGTCCCATCAGCTCCCCCGTGGCTCCTACCTCCCTCAGCTCCTCCATGGCCCCTCAGTCCACCAGCTCGGCCAGGCTCCCTCGGTCCTCCGGATTCCCGTCACTCCCTCGTCATCCTCCCCTCACCTATGGACTTCCTTCCTTTGGCTCCGCCCCGTTTTGTCACCCCTCCGGTTCTGTCGGACTCCTCACTCCCTCCAGTCACCCGTCAGCCCTCACTCCCTCTGGCCTCACCGTGTCCCTCTGTACCCCTGTCGGCACTTCAGTCACCGGAGCCTGCGGGGTCCCCATGTTCCCACGGTTCCTCATCAGCACCTCATGTCATCAGTCCCCCGGCTTCACCCTGGTCTCCTCTCCCATCTGCTCCGCCCCTGTCAGTCGGCCCCCTGGTGTTGTCAGCCCTGCTTCCATCGGCTCCACCAGGGGTCCTCCCTCCATCTGCTCCGCCCTGGTCTCGCCCTCAGCCTGCGCCGCCCTGGCCACGCCCTCAGTCTGCTCCGCCCTGGCCACGCCCTCAGTCTGCTCCGCCCTGGCCACGCCCTCAGCCTGCTCCGCCCTGGCCTCGCCCTCATCCTGCTCCGCCCTGGGGGGCTTCCTCCTCCTGACCACACCCTCCACAGCCTCCAGGGTGCCCACCCCCCCTCCCCATTGATGTTAGGGCGTGAGGCCACGCCTTCCGGGAGGGGGGAGTAATGTCACAGTCGGTCGTCTTCACCTGTTTTGTCCCGTCATCTGCACCACACTTCCCCGGATCCTTTTGTTCCTCTCCCGGACTCACTCCCCAATCAGCCACCTGTTCCTCGTCTGTTCATTATCATTTCCACCTGTGTTCACCTCATTTAGTCCTGATTCCCCTGTGTATTTAGTTCTCCCTCCTTCAGTCTGTGGTTGTCGGTCATTGTTGAATGTTACGCTG